GACAAGTTGGCTTAATTTTTTATCTCAAGAATTTACTGTTCCCATTGAATGCAGAAGATGTTCTTTTTTCGTAATGGGCCGTACCGCCAAGTATACAGGTAATGGGTATGCATAGTACTTTTTTTGCTGATGGTTACTTTTTGGGCTCTTCCTTTTGCACTTGGAATTTCTTGCAAACTATGTTTTAGGGAAAAGAGGGGTAATTTTCTTTGAGAAAAAATTTTTTTGGGTGTTTAATTACAGCTGTTTTGCCTGCACACCGACCAACTATAAAGATTTCGTCGTATTATATCAAAATAAAACGGTTTTTTTTTCAAAAATTTACCATTTGTGCTGAGTTGTTATAGACATATAAGGTTAACGAAGTTATAATAATGTGTCACCATTTCAGCCGATTCGATTTAAGCTACTTCAGTCTTGCCGTTGCTAAGTACGATGGTACTTTTGTCAAGGGGATTACGCTGTAGGCTTCTTTGTTGTAGATCTCCTGGAATTTTTTAATCGGTTATTTACCAGCGACATAAGTATTTTTTGGAAAAAAGCGATTTTTTTTAGGTGGTATCTTGAGTGTATTTTTTATGTGCTTAACAACTGATTGCAGAATTTTTGCAATATTAGGTTGCAACGTGAGAAGCTCCACAACTTTATTTTAAACATAAATTTTTAGAATAAGTGCTATTTGGAGAAGCTGCTAAATATACATGAGGTTGATAACCAGATTTATGGGAAAGGCGAAAGCCAAGTCGCTACAGCTGTATATAGTCTATAGAGGCAACGTGTTATTACTCATTATCATGTTAGAACTTTCCCTCTCAAGAAATGATTACCTTTCACACTGTTCCAGGTTATAGTCTCAAATTCTACTCTTGTACTAAAGGTGTAGCAGGGGGTTTGACTCAAAATTTATTGCCTGAAAACAAGATGGATTTGAAATCCTTTTGTGGTTTTATGGCCAGAATTCTGTATTAATTCCTATTTTCACGTGCCCAATCAAAAAACTAGGAGTTGCAGCCTCTCTAAAGGCTGCAACTCCTAGCTGAAGGTTCCGCAGCAGTTTCACTGGGTATGTTATGTGTCACCGTAATGCATTTGTAATTTGAAGTTTCTAGTGCTCATGCGTATTTATGGAATGAGTAGGACGGGAATGCAAGAAGTAACTATTCAAATTCATGAAGTACCCGAGTAAATAATAAAGTTGTTTGCGGGGAAGTTACTGCGGTGAGCGGACTATAGCCGCGACGAGCATTTGGAGGAAAGGGCTTTACAAACAGTGGTAGACAGGGAGCTGATCAAAATATTGATCTCTTTGGATGTTGTTTTACGGTATAGGTCTTATTTCTGCAATATTATGAGAAGCACGTGAACCTTCCTCTACTTTTTAGAAGTTGATTATTTTGTTGTCATTTTTTTTGCATGGTGTGCGTTTGTTTTTTTGCAAATCGCATGAAGTACGTGCCTTAAAATAATTCCATTATTAAAATATAGAAAGTATGATTTTTAAAAATTTTTCAGCATACATTTAGTCTATGGTCAATTACGAAAATTTTTTGAACGAGTTATTTTATTCGTGCTATATTCCTTTGTATTTTTTGGCAGTGTCCCAGTGTTTATCGGTCTTCGTTAGATTTTCTAAGAAGATTGAGTTACTTTTTTCAGACTTTTGTTCTCTGTAGAATTTGGATTTTTAGCCTTTCTCATCGTGCAGCAACAATCTCTTGTCGGCTGAGACTTAGTTTTTTAGTAATTTTTTTGTAGAAGTTCCCCAGTTCGTTTGTTTGTATAGGTGTTTGACGCGTTTGTGTGTAATATTTGTGTTTTAAGTAGGATGACATTTGTGTTTAAGGTGATCAAAAGGGTATAATCAATTATGCCGGAGGGTGTGACGAAGATTGTAAAGCCAAAAGGAAGGACTCCCACTGATTTGGAGAAGCAAGTTTCTAATGCTCTTGCGGATTTGGAAGCAACTTCAGATATTAAGGCTTCGCTTAAGGAACTATTTATAGTGGGAGCGAAAGTTAGTTATTACGAGTAGTCAAGTTTCAGATACTCAAAAATTAGACAGCATTCGATACCTTTATGTTTTTATTTCTCTAAAATGTGACTTGTTTCCTTATATTCGCGAAGCTGACAATGGTAAATGTTAGGATGTAATATTTTTTGTATGGTTAAGAACAGTACCTCAGGTTTAAAATATGATCTTGAAGAACTTGAAGTGTGGATAGGTGTCAGTTTAAAAAGTTCCACAGCTGAGTCCGTTGTGCTATCTGAATCACCAGCTCTTCTTTACGAATGTTATAATTGTCTGTTTTCAGGAAATCGAGTTAGGAAGTAGGAAGAGCCTTATTATATTTGTTCCTGTACCCCAATTAAGACAGTTTCAAAAGATCCAGCCACGTTTAGTCCGAGAGCTTGAGAAGAAGTTCAGTGGTACACATGTAGTGTTTATTGCTAAGGTAAGTCAGTAAGTGAAGGCGTTCTGATACTTTAGTGACTTTTTAGGATTTAGATCTTTCAGTGGTTTTTCATTTTTTCGTACCTGTACTAAGATTCTATTGTGTTCTGTTTTTTTTTAGCACTGGTTAAGGTGGGTCATGAACTAGAAACATGTTTGTTCAATGCCCCTAATTTGCGCTTACCCTTTAATTAAGTTAAAAAGTTATTGGTCATTAGCGTGCTTCATTGTTTTTTGGTTATATTGCAGCAATGTAGGGATGTCAGCAGGAAATGATGGCATCAGTCAATCATGAGGTTTTTCACAGTACGATGAGATGTAAACAGGAAAAAATCCTAATTGCTCGTAGTTCCCTCTCACTTGGTAATCTAAATTTTAAGAAGCAGTTACAGTGGAATTGGATTGGTTACTTGCATGTGGTCTTCTTTTTATGCCCCTCATTTACGGTGAACTGCCTTTATAGCGACGTATTATACCAAAGCCTAAAAGGGGAAAAAACAGAAGACCGCTCAAACAGAAGCGCCCAAGATCTCGGACCCTCACAGCAGTTCATGATGCCATGTTAGCAGACCTCGTTTTCCCTGCTGAAGTTGTAGGCCGTCGGATAAGAGTCAAACTTGATGGCAAAAGGATTATGAAAGTTCATTTGGACAAGAATCAGCAAACCAATGTTGAACATAAAGTAAATTTGTTTCACGTCCAACATTATCGCAATAAATTTGAGAAAGTTATCCTACTTTTTTTATAGAAATGATTACTCTTTGATTCGTAAAAGTAGCTTCGCTTTCAATTCGCTTAAAAACGGACTTTTTTATTGTCAACGAGAAATTTCAGGTCGATACTTTTGCCTCTGTGTATAAACATTTAACAGGAAAAGAAGTAACATTCGAGTTTCCGGAACCACTGTTCTAAGAAATGTTATCGATTACTACTTGTTCGACTGCTGTTATGTTGTTATTCGGTTAAATAAACGTCAGATTGGTTTTGTATCGCTGATGGAAGATATTTTTTGTTTTTAAATCTGTTTGTTAGCGTTGAGGTTTTCAGCAGGTATCTTGTATGATTGTATTTAGTGCACTTTGCATACATTTTTCGGAAGCTGGGCTCGAGAGCTTGCAACGGTGTCATTTTTGCAAAATATATCTATTAAAAAATTATAATTAGCAGAATGCTGGAGTACAGAGGCATGTTCATTACTTACGACAGAGGATAGGAACATTGGGTTCGCAGGGACGGTTTTCAGTGTCTAAATGTTGTATTTCGAAGTAAGAGTGCTAGGTTTGTTGTCTCGATTTTCTGGTGAGCGAAAGTCAGAGAAGGTGTGGTGTTTTAGCAAAATTTGGGCAGTTGTTTGGTTGTCATCATTAACTGATCTAAAGTTTAAAAACATGGGAGTGCTTTATTTTTTGAGTATTCTGAGAGTCGAATAGTTTGTTGGTTCAGAAGAAACTGGTTTTTTAGCAGTGCAGGCTGGAAGGGAGGGGTCGGAAGCTTGGAGGAGACGGGTTGTGGAAGTGGTTTCCGTTTTTGCGTAGCTCCTTATATTATTCTGGTGGATGTCGAGGATTTCCGCTTTTGTTTTGATGGGCAGTCGCGCAAACGGCATCAGGTGGATGGTTAGCGAATGCTCGGAAATAGGTTGAGGGATTTTTGCTTGGGGTTCGTAGAGGCAGGGAACCCGGATGGTTCCTGGGATCCGTTTCCAAGGTTTTTTTTTTTTTTTTTTTTTTTTTTTT